TGCCCCTCATTAAACGGATACTCTCGTTGCGCATCAATAATGGTTATTTAGGTATATAAAGACGAAATATGATTTAATTTTCTCATTATTCACTTGATAACGATTGCAGATCCACTAGCAATCGAAACGTCGTGTTAATAAACAATTTTAGATGATGTCAGTCCAAGAAGTTTCAAAAAAGTATGGTATATGTTTTATATTGAACAAAACTTATTTTTAAGGATTTATAAGCTCAGGCAGGCTTGAGAACAGTTCCAACAATCAATAACACAAAAACCACAAACAGATCTCTCGCATATTGGCGCCAAACTAGACAAACTTTGATAAATTAAACATGCCTACTATATGATCTACTGCAGTTGCCACTTTCGGCCGCACTCCAAAGCGCCGAATTAATTTTATTTTATTAGGATAAAATTAATTATATAATTTTATCTCTATGATAAAATTAATTCTAAAATTTTTATTATATAGTCATAATTTTAATTACATAATAAAAATTCAGTGCATTAATTTTATGTGTACACATAAAATTAATTGTATCATTTTTATTAGAATTAAATTTATGCTTACACATAAAATTAATTATGGCACGCCGTTTTACTTTTTAATTGTATAAGAAATATTAAGTTAAATATTAATGTGTCACAAAAATATTGCACACAGAAAAATTACATTAAATAAATAATTCAACATCTTATATAAACATATTTTAAAAAAAGAATAACTTCTTTGACATGTATAATTCTAATTAATGTATTATTTTGAAGGTATTATTTTCCAGTGCAATTTATTTTTAAAGTATTAATATTTAACTTAATATTTCTTATCCGATTAAAAAGTGAAACAGCGTGCCATAATAAACTTACTTTCATCACTATACAAGGTGTCCCTAAACTTATTGGCATAAATTTAGGAAAAGATTGAGCAAGTCAAAATAAGACGAAAACCTAAATACATATTTTTCCTAATTACTTATGTTTCCAAGATACAGGGTGATAAAGGTAGTCTTGGAAACGTGATATTTTGCGAAAAGTCACTTACTACCAAAACACATATTCACACATACAATTGTTTGAGTGAACACAGTGTCGTAGAAACGGGGGTTGCTTTAAGCTTATTGTCCCATACAAACTTTGAGGTTAGGTTTTTATAACATTTGATACAATTTTTAGATTACACAGTTCGTCTACCATTAAAAAGGTGTACCTCTCAAACTTCGATAAAATAAACCGTTTCCGAGATATTCGAGATTACAATAATTGAGGTACACCTTTTTAATAGTAGCCGAACTGAGTAATCGAAAAATTGCATCAAATGGTATAAAAACCTAACCTCAAAGTTCGTATGGGACAATAAGCTTAAGCAACCCCTGTTTCTACGATACTGCGTTCACTCGAACAATTGTAAGTCTACCATAGTGGAAGTTATATTAAAAAAACTGATATGATAAGTAACACTTTATCACCCTGTATCTTTTAAACATACCTTATTAGGAAAAATATTTATTTAGATTTTCGTCTTATTTTAACTTGCCTAATCTGCTCCTAAATTTATGCCACTAAGTTTAGGGACACCTTGTATAACCATGTTTTAGACATTTCTTAAGCAACGGAAATTTGGATAGATGAGTTTTATATTTAGTTTTTTAAATTTTCTAATGTTTCAGTTGATTTTATAGTTAGGGGCATACTTGTATCATTCTCCCTGACATAAATAACACCTTTCTTGCACCACACAAATTTATATACAGGGTGTCCCAGAACTCGCGCCACATAGAAAACCGGAACGTGCCGAAAGTAACGTGAAACACATATTTGAAAATTAAAATTGTCTAACGCAAAGGATAAGCGAGATAAGAATAGGGAATTCTTTAAATTGCTAGGATACTTAGGTTGCATTGTTGATAATAAAAAATATGTAAAATATTTGGTCCACTGGAATCCAATTCATTGTAACACTGCTGTCAAACTCCTGTCATTAATATTATATTAGGTTATAAATTAAGTTAGGGACTGTCTACGTATCCTACTAGTAGGATGTATAGCCAGTTCGCTAAATATCCTACTAATAGGACAAATAGTACCAAAGCTAAATATCTTACCATTCAGCGTATTTCATAAACCATGATATCAAATAAGAAAAAAATTAAGCCAGCTAACTAAGTTTGTGTTAGTTTAGTTAAGGCTCCCTATTCGGAATATAAAACCTGTCTTTGATTATTCACATTGGGTTTTTTACCAAATAATTTGTAATTTAAACATTATTTTAATCATCCTTAATATTATTTAAATAAATTAAAACATTTATATTCTATATGTTCTAACATATTAGAACAGAGGGACAAAATCTTTTATTTAAATATATATTGAATGTAAAATAACACATCCACTCTTAATTTAATTAATAATAAATCATCAATCAGTGGTCATTTAATTCCATTATAGAGATTAGGATTTTAAAGTGTCGAAAAAAAACCGGAAAAATTGGGGAAAAAATTTTATTGCCAAGGTTATGATGATTAGCTGTCATCTTGGTTATGCAGGTACACTACATTGTGCCATACCAAACCAACCCAAACTTAACAACCCAACCCAACCGACCCCGCCCCATTGGGCCCTCCCTCCCCATGCATTGAGCAATAGAGGTATAATATATCTAAGGGCAGGGTCAGTTGGGTTAGGTTGTTAAGTTTGGGTTGGTTTGGTATGGCACAATGCAGTGTACCTGCGTAACCACAGTTACATTAAAAAGTAAATAAAAGCACAAAACAGCCCCACACCCATAAAACTAATGAAAAAAACGCAGGGCAACGTCCGCCTCAGACGTGGAAATAGGATTTTTCACGTACAACGTACAAATAATAATTGACAAAGTTTTGATCTTCATACTTCTTTATAAATGTCTGTATCTCGAAAAAGGAATTGAATTTCTCTCCAACGTTGCAATGCATTATAATTTAATTATTGCAGTCAAACAAATGGTGTAAAAACTTAAACTAACCTCACTTTTGAGTGTTGTTTTTGCCGAATTCTGAATAATAGTAGGATATTTAGCCTTACTACTATTTGTCCTATTATATAAACTATAGTCGGATATTTAGCGAACAGGCTATAAATCCTACTAGTAGGACACGTAGACAGTCCCATTAAGTTATATAGTAAATTTAAAAGTAAACTACGTACACGTCATCAATCAGCTGATCGGGCACGGTTGTCAATGTGATGCTAAAATCCTTGCATCAAGGGAAAGTGGTAGTGCAACTACAGGGCGATAGATGGCGTTTACATGAATAATACCGAAATGTCAAAAGTCTGAGTTTTTATAACCTATATGATGCACCGCCAAAAGTATGTTTTTAGCCATTTTTAAAGACATTTAATGATATAAAACCCAAAAATTTTGCCATCTAAAGTCAGTCTCTGGTATATATATTATTATTTTATGTATACAACATATATTTTGTTAAATATTCTAATATATAATTAATAATAATCCTATTTACCTCTCTAACAGCTGTTAAAGGTAACAAAGGTCCATTATTATCCCGTTCTGCCTCAAAATAGCGTATTAAGGATGACACCAACTCTTGACTCCGACTATTTAAATGCTTCGGCATTTTAAATATAGGAAACTCAAAAAAACGATATATAACAAACACAAAAACGGCAATGAAAACTTAAACGATATAAAATAACACAAACAACAAACAAAATAAACGAAATAATACACGAATTAAACGAAATATTCAAAAACACAACTGACAGCTTCGAAATTCTAAAACGTCAAATTCTTTTTTATGTGTCATTTAAATATGAAATATTTGAATGTAAATATGACAACATCTTAATTGTTGCCAACTGAAGATGTTTAAAATGCATTCAAATATTCAATTACAGACCGATTTAGTCATTTAGTGTTGGTACCAATGCGTAAAATTTTTGTTTTATTGATGACGTGTACGTAGTTTACTTTTAAATTTACTATAATTGAACTTTGTCAACTCATCATTTATGTAGACATTGCTGTCTGAAGATAGACTCAAGTCCTCCACTTTCGGAATATTTTCCTTTTTAGATTTCATTATTTTCTCCTTATCAGTCTCTTTATTAAATACATAGATAACAAAGCCTTTGATATCTTTGATTAGTTGTTTACCATCCTCACTTGCCTCTCCCACTTGATTGCAGATAAAGTCCTCATTTTTGAGCAAGACATTCAATGTTTTGGCCATTCTAAATTAATTTTAACAATCTATTAATATTGTACCTTATTAAACGTGTTATTGACATATTTAAAATGTATATTAGGGTGATTCATTTCCGCAAAGTTTTTTTTTTTTCGGTGCTCAAGCAAAATATTAATCTACCTATAGAAAAAAAATTTTCACCAAGGTAGAGCTCTTAATATCAATTTTAAGTACTTGCAGTTTAAATTTAAAGTTTTCCCATTTAAAATGCATGTAAAAAAAATTGTTTTTTTTCAAATTTATAATGCCCGCCCGCTTTTTACAATATTGTGAATCGGTTTTATGGACCTTATAGGGAATTTCACGCTCTTCAAAATTGTCTTTGTGTTTTTTTGTGTAACTCGTAGTGGTTTGCCAGTAGGAGTCATCAAAGTTCAATATTTTGAATGAACATTTTTTTTGCAATTTTTTTTAACAATTCGCAAAAAATAGTGAAAAAAAAGAGCTGAATCGTAAAAAATAGTCTTTTAACAAATATTTGATGAATTTACGGCCATTTTTATATCTTAAAACGTAAGTAATTGATAAATATTAACCAATTATGCTACCTATTTAAATTAAACTTTCTTATTTACTATCGATATAATTCTCTACAACAATAACTTTTTCAGAGTTTCAGAAATTTTAACATTCTAAAAAGTGTTATTAAACTCTAAAATATTATTTCATATATTTGAAGGTTCTAATTTGTATTTTTATCATTTATTATATTATTTAGTATGAAATATTTTTAGACTAGATGAATACTTACTCCAAATAGAGATATGAAAAAATGGATAACAGCATAAGGGATGAAACTATTAGCCAACCATGTATAGTTTTATAACACCTGTATTTGTATAACACAATCAATAGTACAGTCATTACTATTATCACAGCAATTAATATCAACGAATTTGCAACTGCATTCCATATTTTTGTGCTAGTATCTGGACTTTCTTCATGAAAAGGCGTATAAACCCTAAAAATCCCTTAAAATAGTTAACTAATATTAATGTTAATATTACTCACAAATAAACATCCTTAACAGAGTAAAAGTTAACCGAACTTATTGTGGCAACAACAACAACCATACAGAGAGAAACTGGGGCAAATAGCTTGATAACATGTTTGGCGCCGTACTTCAACTCTTCCTCTTCAGTTTCCTGATACGAAGCCTCGTTGTTCTGCGAGTTTAACGAAGGTCTATTAGACGGATACGATTCCGATCTTAGGATTCTTTTGCGGGTGTTTTCCGGAGCGTCTCCAGTGCCGGAATTGCCGCTCCCGTTCGCCGCCACATGTCCGTCCATTAGGCTCGTTCTCTCTGAAACGTCTTCGTACTCCCCCTCACTCTCAGACATGCAATAAATCCTTTTTTGATCGAAACTTGCTACGAAACGAGTCACAAACAACTTTGACAGCTCAATGTTGACAAATGTGTATATTGTAACTACTACCCATTTAATAAAAATGCTACATTAGAACTAATTCTTATTTAACAAAACGAAACACCCTTCAAAAGTGACAAAAATATAACCTAACATTTTTTGATTAGATCGGTGATATTGTATTCTGTGTCGGTGATTAAGCAGAAATAGTAAAAATGTCTTGGGCAAGTATAAAAGAAAAGTTGAAAAGCAACAAAAAAGAAGACTTATACGAGTGTATAAGAATTTTATTAAAAATAAGCACTAACATAATAAATGATCCAGGAAATGAGAAAGTACTTATCTTAAAAAAGAGCAATGCCACTTTGGCAACTAAAGTTTTTTCTCTTAAAGGAGGATTTGAGTGTTTGCAACACATGGGTTTTAAAGAAGTAAGGTAATATACTTGTAAATTGAAGATTTAACTATAAAAACATATTTTTAGGACAAAGAAACATTAATTTTTACCAGTAATTTAAATAATCTTAAGCAAGTTAAACAAAACATAGATAAGCTTAAAGAAGATATAGATAAAGGTGTAAGTTTTTAGATGTAAATAATTATACATAATAGGTATGTAAAGAATTCTTAATTTAGATTTTGGAGAAGGAAACAAAGGAGACAAAGCAAATTGTTGGGGCATCTGCTTCAACTACAATCAAAAATGAAAATATTAAAAAAATAATATTACCTCCACTTCTTTATGTAAAACAAATGTTATTATTACTATTATAACTGTTTTAATTTTTTTTATTTTAGTTTTATTCAAACAGTTTTCTAAGGTACATTGAAGCTCAATTTCATCAAGCACTAGCTTATGAAGATAAAGAATTACAAGAAAGGGCTACAAAATTAATACCAGTAAATAAATTGGAACTTAATGCAACTGAGCACTTAAGAAAATTACAAACAGAATATAAAAAAAGTAAGAGTAATTTTTTAGTTTTTATATTTAAAAGATAATATTTATTTATTTTTATTAGAAAACCATACAAAATATGTCATATTATTTTATACCATAAAACATTGTTTTGTTTAATTTTTTTACAATGGTAGTCAAAATTGGAGTGCACATGTGCGACTTATACGCTTTCGTTTTTCTATTTTTGGCGCGCTAATTTTGACATTTGGCCTTATGTGCGCCACTGCGAGAGTAGAGACGAACCGTACCCGATTTCGACCCTACAAAACGTACCGCGTATCCGTCGCTGAGAGAGTAGAGACAAAACGTACCGCGTTTACTCCTCTGTGGCCGCGAGTGTAAATACAAACCCCTAGACCACACCAGGGACAAACCATACCCGATTTTGACTCTATCTAGATAAAATGTACCGAGTTTCGCCGCGGTCCCAATCGGAATTTTCGATCTTTACCCTAAATGGTAGTAACCATTTGACCACCTAATAATCGAAATCGGCCGGAATACGGCCTGCCTTGGCATAAGCGATACATCTCACGGCTGCTTACGCACGAGAGCATTAATTACTGAAATTTTTTTTTATCCCTTACGTGAGATTTAAGCCATGAAACTTTCTTTGCGGACAATTTTATAATCCCGAATAAAGTAAAAAAATTGATTAATTGTTTTTAACAAATTTAAATTATAATACAAATTCTTTAAATTAAAAAGTTGACTTGAGATTTTAAATGACCCCCCTCCCTTGAAATGAGGTTTGGTGAGATTTTGCTAGACCCCTCCCCCCATTTTTATCTCACGTAATTAATGGATTCACCATTTTTTATTTTTTTTCAATACATATTAGGGTGGTCCTTATTTAGGGTGTGTTCGAATTTTTCTTCACGATAGTCCTAAATAGGTTCCAAATATATATATAAAAAAATGTGCCAAATTGCAGCTCTTAATTTTAAAATTAAGCCGGCCCCCACGACAGCCAAAGTTTTAAATGGAAATAACATGGGAAAAGTTTTGTTATTACTATGGATATTTTTAAGTCATGAACTACTAAACGGATTATATAGAAGCAATATATTCTTGTAGAAAATGTAACGCTCTACAAAAAAGGTTTCTTGTGAATTTTTGTTAACTTGACTGGTTCAACAGTTATTCGAGGTCAAAATCAAAGTTCTAGTCAATTCCATGGTTTTTCCATTTTTATTTTGCTTTGATGATTCAAAAATGTAAAAAGGGTTATAATTTATATTCTAGATGACTTTTCTTATCTTGACGTTTGCTCCAAAAGAAAAATCTTTATTGATTAAATATTATTAAAATTTCAATGGATTAAAAAAAAGTTTTTTTTAGCGCGTCGGGAAAAATTTTTCGATGATCTTTAACAAACAAATTATAATACATATTGCATTTGTTTTTCATCCTTAGTATAATGTTTACAAAAATCTTGCACTAGTTTAACTCCTCTCTCAGCACAGTCATTCACAACCGATAGTTTTTTGACAAACCGTTATAGCTTCCATTTTCAGCCCATTCAGAAGGAATAATTTGTAAAAATTCTGTTTGTAACTCAAATCTTTTAAAAAATTTAAATGATTCTTGCGTATCCCAAAATTTAAAAAATACTTAAAAGTTATGACAGTGCAAAAACAAACAATTGGTGTAACTAACTTTTTAGGGTCACGATTACCCTGAAAGTTTTATAAAAAATAGAACCATCTAAAATATAAATTATAACCCTTTTTACATTTTTGAATCATTAAACCATGATGAAAATGGAAAAAAACATTGAATTGACTAGAACTTCCATTTTGACCTCGAATAACTTTTGAACCAGTTAAGTTAGCAAAAAATCACAAGAGACCTTTTTTGTAGAGCGTGAAATTTGTAAGAATATTTATGTTTCGATATAATTCGTTTATTAGTTCATGACTTAAAAAAATCCAAAGTAACAACAGAACTTCTCCCATGTTATTTTCATTTAAAACTATGTTTTCTAAAATGTAAAAAAAGTTTATACTAAAACAAAAATTAAAAAAACGTATCGTTAAGTCAGTGGGGTGAACTTTGAATAAATTAACAATAACGTTTTATTTCAGTCTTCCACACATTTTTTTTCTTGATATAAACTTGTTCCACAAACTTCCTGGGTATGAAGACAGCAGAAACACTCTGGCTCTGGCGGTTGCCTAAATCAAATATTCAAATTTAAATACTTAAATACTTTAAAATCAATATTGATTGAAATACAATTGTATGTGATCTGATAACCCTGATTGCGAGCAGGATCAGGGGATCACTTACTTGATCCCTCACCCCAGTAAGTTTACGAACAAGAGTGAAGGTGATCGAGAGAGTAAATGAACACCAGGTTCACTTACCCGTGTGGCAGATCACTTACCCAAGTAGGTTTCCGAAAACGCCCATTAATTACCCATCCAGCATTGGATGAGCCATGCGAGATGAGCTCTTTGCAATTCCGTAGGCTTCGCTGCGTATGCTTTTTGGCTTATCATTTTATGTCTTGTGGTCGTGAGTTACTCCATGTATTTAGTCTACTTGAAGAAAAAAATAGAATACCTATTATCCAAAATTTTAACCTAATTTTATCATTTATTAGAAAATTGTTTAAACAAAATGTCGAATTCCTTTTAGTTTAATAAGTAAATGAGATTTGTTTTGATTTTCCTTGATTTTTTTATTTGAATTCTTTATTATTTTTTTGGATGATTTGACCTTTTTTGATGCTAATAATTATTGGAGATATGGTAAAAATAATGGGAAACAATTGAAATATCGATGGTTATTTGACAAAACATCGTAAGCGACAATTTTGTTGAATTACTTTTTATTTTATCAAAGTGTCAGCTGCACATGTTAACATAATAGTTATCCCAATTTTGGAATCTAATATTGGTCAGTTTGAATATTTTAATTATTCTAAGCGTCTCTTTTTAATTTGTTACCGATTTAGAACGTAAGCGCCTATATGTTCCCGACAAATAATCGTAAGCAACTCCGAGACATGGCGTTTGCTATTTGACATTGTGTCGCTTACGATAATATTTTGCTCCCGCCTTGATCTATCAAGGCGTTATTCCCGCTCTAAACAGTTTATTCGTGAGTATACCTCACAGACCACCAAAAAAATGGACGGATTTGTTTACGTTTAAAAAGCGAGTAAAGCATAGTTTCACATTCTAAACACCGTCGAAAGAAACACGGCTTCCAACGTTGTCAGAAGTATAGATTACACGCCTTTTTGGACGTTCATCATAACATAATGAACATTAATAATTACCAGTAATTCGTTTGAATAATAAAAAAATTGTAAAAAGGATTTGTTCATCATTTTCTTTAGATATTTTTCTCTATTTAAAGTAAATCATTTAATAATTATTAAAATTAAATATTAACAACGTTGGTAAATTCGTCATATTTGACAGCATAGAAAAAGGTTATGTTCTGTGGGTTGACAGCTTGTTGTTTTGTGTTTTCATTTGTGTATTTCTATCGTGTTTAAGTTAATTATTATACATTATTTTTTACTAAAAATAACAATACATGGAAATATCGTTTGTAAGTACCTACCTACTTATTATTTTTTTAATCCCAATACGTCACTGGAAGAAAACATAAAATTCTATCGCCAATTTAACGCTTAGACTGTGACCGTTTGTTGACGTCACTGGAAGAAAACATAAAATTCTATCTCAAATTTGACGCTTAGACTGTGACCGTTTGTTGACCGCAAACAAAGCATTGTTATTGAATGGCAATGCGCCGTCCATTTGTTTTGGTGGTCTGTGGTATACCTGCATCGTGGTGAGTGCTACCAAGTTTTAAAATAATATTTTATTTGATCAAAAGCTTATAATTTCTTTATTTCATTGCATTATTAATAGTTATCCTAATAATTATTAATAATAATTATTAATAATTATTATTAATAATTATTATAATAATTATAATTAGGATAACTATTAATTAATAATAATTATTATAATTATTATTAGGGATGCACCGGATCGGGTATTTTGCCGATCCGGCCGGAACCGGAATTTTGGCCGCTGGCCGGACCGGATCGCCGGAATTCCGGCCGGATCGGGACCTAAATTTAAAATATTGAGGCTGATTTATTTTTACTTTTTTTTAAACTAGCTACAGTATGTATGTTTATTACTATTAATTTTACCTAGATAGAAATTACTGTTTATTTAAATATTAATTTTTAATTAGCGTTAACAAAATTAAAACAATTATACTCATTCAATTGGAGAATAGCAGCCACCTGCCAATAATAAAAAAATTAAAAAGAAGTCGGGGAACCACAGCCGCCGGTCTATCATAGGCAAGGAAACACGCACAGCCTTCACTGTTGACCAATTACAAAATATATCTGGTCGAAAGTCGGGGCATCCCAGACGCGAAAGTCGGGGAATCACAGTTCCTCACTCTAATTTTTCATGTAAACTGTATACTTATCTTACATATAAGACTTATCCATGACAGGGAATTTGGCTGTTATTTTTGCTGTTAGAATTTGGCTGTTAATAATGTTTTCAGTTATTATTTATGTTTTGTAATTCTTGGAAAGAAAATATATTTTGTTTAAAAAAAAATTATTTGTGATTAATTAACGACTTAACAATATGTAATGTACCAACCCCTTAAGTAACTTATGTATATATATATATTAAAAGAATATAAATAAACGATTAAATTCAATGTTTATGCCCCTAAACTTTAGGGCAATCATTAACATTTAACTTAATATAGTACATTAGCACCTGAGTACATCTAAATCACCGACCTTATGGAAAACTATTGTATCATTTCCCTTTCACCTTTCACCTAATTTTACTATATATAGTTCACCTATTTTTTGTATAGTTAGTTCTGATAGTCAGCCCATCAAGCTACAAGTTTATTGTAACATTCTTGTTAGCCAACATTTTGAATTTGTTAAAGTTATCATTGTAAATACCCAGCTAGCACAAGTCTGTCCTAAGGAC